TAGAAGGGATAGCAATGTCTACGTATATATGTTAGGTTGTACACAAGACCATGGAGTAATGTACCCATCAATAATATTGTACACTGACACAGTATAAACCCCACTGGTTGATACTGATACTATTGTATTGTCTGATCCAGTTATATTAAAGTGTTCATTCCTTCCATTACTAGTATCAGTAAATATCACATGACATCCATCAGCAGTTGATCCTGATACAAACACACACTGTACACTAACTGATCCATTCCCTTCAGTAGATACTAGCAGGTCTTGTACATTGTATGTAGCTTACAATAAAGTAAACATTAAACCAGTATAAATGTAAACTTACTGATCGTGACATTATCTTGATCTTCAATACCAAATAAGGAATTCAATACAATGACTTGAACAGTGTAATTCTTGCATGGTTTTATTCCAGTTATTGTGTATGATACTAGTCCATCAGTACTGGTATAATATGGGGTCTGTGTCACTCCTTCGTCCGGATAAAGGATGCCATATATGGTAGTGTTACAGGATTGTGCTGAACTATTTACCTATTAAGTGGTAAATTATAAATAATTATTATGCATGACAATTATCATTACCAAGTTTATAAAATCAATAAAAAAGAAACTGCTTGTTTCATTATACATCAGAGTATAATTCAATATACTGATAGAGTAACCTATGGATGGACATAAGTAAAGCATTTTAGCTTCACACTTACTTGTAGTGATGTTAAACTTATATTCTCTCCCTTGTGATACATACTGTCCAATAGATGTAGTAATACTGACAGTAACATTAGTACAAGGTAATCCAGTAGTGTTCAACCATACACTAGTATCAGTAGTGTTGATATAACTGATACCATTCACTAGTACATTATATGTAGTAATAGCAATGCCTCCTGAAATAATATCAGTAGAATAGAAAGAAGGAGGAGACCATGACAATAACTGATCATCATTAGACCATTGTATGTCTTCAACTGGTGATACTCCTATGAAAGAATTTATTTTACTAATTATAACGTAAGTACTAACCTCTTATTGCCAGCATACTAGTGCTAGAGAATGCTTGTTCAAAAGGTTGATATGATATTATTTGACATCCAATCTGTAACCCATCATTAACAGGCAACCCAGTGATAGTAAGTACTGATGATAAGTTACCAGGGCCAATACCAGGATCAGTGTATGTGATGCTTCTTTGTTGTTTAACTGACTCTGTTAGTACAGAACTGTGTACTAGCCAATTCAGTTCATTGCCAGTTCCTTCACAAGTAAAACTTGCTGTGTCATAAATAGAAACAGTAACAGAAGTAGGACCAACTGTTATATCTAGAAGAATAATAAAGAATGAAGTACATTCATCACACATTATTACCAGCTCCATCCACTGATAGGATCAACAAGAGCAAGACTACAAAAGATAGACCCAATTCATTTTGAATCATTTTTCCTCCGACAGCACTGTCTATCATGAAGTTATGATAACAAGCTTTTAGCAGATGAAAACTGGATAAATGTATACACGAGTAGTGTTTGTGATGCATCATATTCTCAGCAACTGTTTTCAATAACAATAATCATGATAATAACTGAGAATTGGAATGATTATTATTTTTAAAAAACAAATAATGATCAACTAAAACAATTACATTGGGCATAAAACATTATACAATAACTATTAAAAAAATATATAAATAAATACACAATGTACATGACACAGTACAAATAATTATCAGCAATATATATAATATAAAAATAAGTAGCAGCGAGGCGGCAATGCAGCTATTACAAAAATTTTCCTCAGCTCAATTAATTCTGGTTACATTTTTCATCTGTTCCAACTTCAAAATAAACAACTATTTTTCATTATAAATATACATTAATTAATATTAATATGCTTACGTTGGTCAGTAGGAGTTACAGCAGTAGGTGTGGTAGGACAAGAACCCTCCAGTATTTTCTATTATAACAAAAAACAACGAATCATTAAAAAATATGGTAAATATCATTAGCTTACCTGTGGATACTCTTGAGAAATACTCCGAGAAAATTGTCTGTGAAAAGTAGCAGGTGGCATAACGAGGAAATCTTTATCGGTTTTACTATTTCCAGCAGAAATACCAACAAAAGCAATACTATCTGATCCAACAGGCTGCACAAGTTCATTAGACGGATTGAATGAACTAGACTGAGACTCATCAACTGGTTCCACAAGTTGTGGAATGGTAACTGGAGGATTTGGAGGACTATTAACCAATAGATCAGTTTTAGTAACCACCAGATCAGTTTTAGTATGTTCAGAAGCTTCACTGATTTCATGCCAGTAACCATGCTGTTCTGATAAAGGTAACAAAGCAGCAGTTTCCGATGCAGTAGAGAATCCAGTACCACTTCGTGATGTGGTTTGAACAGGAGTAGGATGAGAAATGGAGCCGAGAATAGGTGCCTTATCCTTCTGTGAAATTAGACAGGCAGCAGAATTTTCGGTACTATCAGTTACAGATGGTTCTTGTGGAGTAGGATTATAATACTGCTGCTGGTTTTGTGTACTATTAAATTAAAATATAATTATTACAAATTACATGAATATTCTTACTAATCTGGTGCTCCTGTATCAGCAACAGGCAATGGGAGAGTATTATGAGGTAGTAGGGTTGGTACACTGTCTTCAGGTGTTGTTGGTTGCTGGTTATGTTCATGTAGATTGTTTGATTTCTCTACATTATCCACCTCTCTTTTATTATTTCCTTCTCTTTCAAGACTAAATAGAAGACAAATAAATAAAATACAAATTTCATTGTGTCATACAGTTCATTTGGTCGATCTTCTTCTTCCCCCACTTCTCTTTCATTTGCAGGTACATGCACTTCTTCCATACTAAGTATAAAATCAAAATAAAACAAATAAAAAATAAATACATACCGGTCATTCTGTTGAACCATTTCTGTCAGTTCCACAGTTTTTTTTCTGTTCTGTTCCAGTTCTGGGATTTGATTTCTATTCACATTATAATGCAAACATACTTATGAACAACAATAATTTAAATATACCTATTTCTATTAGAATTCCTTCTGTTGCGAACTAAAATATAATTTAACCTTTATGCAGAAAGAAATGGATAGACCTACCTATAGTTACAAAGCCTGCAAATGCAACTGATTTGGAAAAAAGAACAATCAAGCAAAGTACTGCAATGATCAAATAAATCCACCCTAAAAATAAGATTCAACATTATTTGTCATTCAAATTATACAACTTACATTCTAATCCATCAGACTCAACTTCATTACCACCACCACCACCATGATCATGATCATGATCATTATTATTATTATCATCCTCTTCTTTCATCACACAGTGAATTGGTATACCACTTTCCACCATAAGCAATGTCCCATTACGTTTCTTAATAAACACATTAACAGTATAGCTACCATTAGCTAACAGTACATTGCTTAAAACAGTCAGTGAATGTCTGCCATTATCAGGTCTCAGGCTAATCTCTTGAGTAGAGTGTTCACTTCCATTTGACATTAGTACTTGTATCACTAATTCTGGTACTCCGCGAATGTAATCAGCAGTAATATTGAACTGTCCATTAGTTGTAATCTCAGGATATACAGAAGCTACTACTGGCCTGGTGTCTGTAAAGAATGAGTGATTATAATTTAAATGATATTCATAAGTTGACATGTGATGCATGAAAAGCAGTAACCAGTCAACAACAGTCATATGACCATCATAAGTGTAGACTACACAACATCTACTGGACCACACACAATGTATAGATGTACGTACATGTACATGTATGTATTACAATAGATTAGTAGAGGTCAGGGTGTACAATAACAATGCTCATAGCCTTGCCTTTGGTTTTATTTTAGTAGTTTTTATGAAAAAATATTCTTAGAGCAATTTTTGAAAAAATTCAAACATATATTGATCATTGGTGAGATTTCGGAGCAACTTTAAAAATTTGTAAAAATCTAATTTTGATCGAAATCAGCTCAAACTTGAGAAAAAACATAAGAACATGTATATGTATTAGGAAAAATTATAAAAATGGAAAATTCTCTCCTAGTCATTTTTGGCAAATTTGGCCAAAGACCCTGTACTATAGTACAGGGACTTTGGCCCAATTTCAGAGCAACTTTAAAAATTCGTAAAAAATCTAATTTTGATCGGAATCAGCTCAAATTTGAGAAACAACATAAGAACATGTATATGTATCAGGAAAAATTATAAAAATGGAAAATTCTCTCCTAGTCATTTTTGGCAAATTTGGCCAAAGACCCTGTGCTATAGTACAGGGACTTTTACCCAATTTCG